ACCCTTCACAAAATATCTTTTCATAAAAACGGACCCTTCACAAAATATCTTTTCATAAAAACGGACCCTTCACAAATTTGTTAATCTTCTTTTGTGTTTTGTTAATCGAATAAACCCTTTCCAGGACAAAAAACAAGAAAGATGGATGTAAACGAATTAAGTATTGTCTTCGGCAGACGATTCTTCCATTATTCGTCGGAAATGAATATTCTACGTTCAGCAGTATAGGCTAAATACCAAATATTTATATGTTGCATCTCTAATTTAGAAGCAGCAATGGCTGTTTATTTTTGAAAATTTAATTTTTTCATTATAGTTTTACAGCGCCGAGCATAATCTTGCATCTATTTACAGTTTAAAAACTCCTTGAAAAAGTTTTATGCAATAACCGGACCCTATTTGTACAAATTCATGACCCTGGTTGAAAGAATGTGAGTTATTTTTTCACAATTTCATGAAAACCGGACCTTTCGCAAAATGTCTGGACAGACCCCTGGTACAACGACAGCGGCAATCGAGTTCTTGCAACTCGAGAATACCGCTGAAATCACGTGGCTGTGCATAGCGTATTAACGTTGCAACTATTAATCTTTGTTTAGTACCACGCTGAATCAATTTTTGGATAAAATTTAATTGGATGCCTACAAGCAACGTTTCGTGGGTGAGTCGAACCTGATTGGCTACTGAATGGCTGAACCGTGGCGGAAACAAATGCCTTGTTCTAACCACACGTGACGTCGCTTGCAGGTATCTAATTAAATTTTTAATGAAATATAGATTTAAAATAATAATTACTTCTACAATTGAGTACTTTTTTTATATTATATCCGTCGTTGAACAGCCGACCCAGTTTTGGGTTTATGACTGCTAATGTTCAACTCCGTAGCCTTGCAATTTTGAACCCAATCCAGAAGACAAGGGGACTCCTGGATCGAATATTGGGTGAAATTTGCCTTCGTGGAGGACTTTTTGATGGAGCTAATCCGCATTTGTGTTACATGGAGAGGAAGACCACGAGAACCTCCCACAGTCAGTCTGGCGGCAAGAGGACTCTAACCCATAATCCGTCTACCACTGAGGATATTTCACGTCAGCACTGTGGTCATTGCAAGCCGGATGCGGAATTCGCATGGACTGGGATTCGAACCCGGTTCGCCTCATTGGAAGGCGAGTGCTGATTCACTGACATAAGCGTAACGTCGCTTGCCAGCATCTAATTTCGATTAACCTGAAATATACCTTCCAACCAACACATTAAAGGTCAATAATAATTAATGCATCAGACTTTAAAACTAACCATAGTTTGAAAACAAAGGATCAAATATAGTTCAGATCAAATTCAGATGTTGTGTAGGCATTTAATATAAATATGGAGATTTTTATTCTAATAGCAACAATTTATTTTATTTTATAACCGTCGTTCAACAGCCGATACAATTTTGGCTTTACCGAAACAATTGAGGATTTCGTGTTTTTCCTCCCTATGTAACGCAAATGTGGGTTGGTTCTACCAGAAAGTACTTTATGGAGGATTTAATTTCTGACAAATTTCTCCCAATACTTGATCCAAGAGTTTCTTTGTCTTTTGGATTGGGTTCAAAATTACAAGGCCACGGAGTTGAACATTGATGGTTGCAAACAGAACATTGGGCCATCCGTTCAAGGATAGTTATAAAATTTTTAAAAAAAATTTTTTTATCTTTTTATTAAAAAAATAAGGAACGGTGAGAGAAATCGTTAAAAAACATATTATATTATACGATTCGTTTCGTTTATCCATAAAAGAACAAAAAGAAGAAAAAAAATTATTTTTTCTTTTTAAATGTTTTCACTTGAGTGTTTTGTTAATCTTACTGAAATACACTTCTTCCCCCCTTCACATAAAAATAATTCTAATAAGAAAAATCTCACCTAATGTTCATCAAATTAATTATTTCCGTATACTTTTTTCTATGTTTAGAATTCTATTTCATTCTATTTGCTTGTGAATGTGTGCATAGGGGAGTGGTGTTGGTTGCCATAGTTACTATTTGATGCGGTTTATTGCCACCAAATGTAGCCCTTATGTTTAAGTGAGATGAAAAATTTGATTGATGACGATTTTAATGACATAAATATCGATTAATCTTGTTTCTAAGACTATTAATGGAAGTTGTGATGTTCTCTCTCTTATAGTCAAATATTAGCTAGCCAATATAGACAAATTAAACACGTTTGACGACATTTATTATACGTTTTAGCATTTTACGTTTTTTGTATTATAATTTCGTTTTCTATTCAGAATTCAGAGAATAATGAAATAAAAAATGTTTTTAAAAACCAGGCTTTCAAGTGAAGTTAAGAGGATGGGATAATTTTGTTCCACCTCAAACTAAAATCGCGAGATGCATGTTTTCGAAAAACGTCGAGTAGGGGGTTAGAAGTTTATTGCAAAGGTTAACTGCCCCTCGTATTCAAAGAGGCTTAGATTTTAATCTGCTTAAAAAACGCAGTTATTAGAACCTTGGCGTATTCTTTGGCCAAGATTAGAACTTTCTTTTCCTTACTTTTCTTCATTTTAACTTCTGTAACATTTGATTGAATATTTCCACTTGCTCACAAATTCTGATTGTAGCCGTCAGAAACGATTGAAACTTATTTTATAACCACAGATTGTTTATTTTATTTTACCTAAAAGAGCTCTTCCGTTTCATTTTCAGTGAAAAAAATGAATTATACTTCATTACATATTTTACAAGTACAACTGAAAAATAAAATAAAATTTTAATATTCTCTGGAGTCTTCTAATTTTAACTCAATCAAGTTCGTACTTCGGCTTAAGGTATACTTAGGCTTAAGATATAGTTTTTTAAAACTTTTAAACGCGATTTTCTAAAAAGTTTTCTTGACATTTTAATTTTTAATTGACGCCATTTTTAGCTTCTCAAGTTCTTTCCTATCGTTTCAGCTTTTCAACAACGTTGACGAATGATCCGACAAATGTTAAAATGTTTGGTAAAAGCAATACCGACAAATATGCTGCCAAATTAAGAAATAAAAATATTGATTATAAAATTTGTTTTCAATGTTTTTTTACCGTAAGGTTAAAGAAATGAAAGATAATTATTTTTTGTAAAAACGCTCGAACTTTAATTTACAGCGAGGTTAATTTGTACTACAATTATTTATATGATTTTAGTTCATTTAAAAATGACCCAAAAATCATTTTATACATTTATTTATTATTTATTTAATGATTCATTTTTCACTTATTACTTTTCTATTTACGTATATCATTAGAAAATACAAGATAGATAAAGGTCGGTCTGATCAACACGTACTAGAAGTGGTTATGGTCTGATACCAGGCATGATGCATAAAACTTCAAATTTTTTATTTTTTCAGTTCATCAAATAACATACTTATCATAATAGCATCATAATTTACATTATCTGCAAAAATTCCATCACTAATAAAATGTTGTCATTAAATACCATAATGACAGCTCTTGAGGTTTTCCTAATAATAGAGCCCATTCATCTTCTAATTTAATAGTCACCCCGCTATAATTTAATTATTTACGGAAGTGTTTAGGGTTTATCCCCGATTTTAGCAGTTACAAAACCACAAAATTTAAACTAATAAATGTATCTTTTATGTCTAACTATCTTGATTTTGTCACTAATCAATGTTTCCAAAAAAAAAAAAAAAGGAGAGGCAAAAAAATAATAAAAAGAAAAGCAGCACTATCAAATCAATCAAACTTCAGAAGAAATATAAATACGTCAATGGACATTAATGAAAAATTTTATTGTAAAAATTAACCCTACATAAAAAAAAATAAGTTTAATATCCAGATGATTTGAAAATGTTACAAATAGAAATATTTTTGAATATTATATGGTAACTATGATAAGATGATAGCTATAAGAATTTCATTGGTTTAATTTTCTTACACAGAATGTATCTGACATAAAACCTCTAGTTTAAATTTCAGAAACCTATTGAGCAAAAATGTTGTAATTATTTATCCTCTTGTCATAGAAACAAAAAAAAACAAAAATCCAATTTAATTGAACTAATGTATTTTACTTTTACATCTATCACTTTTACAATTTTAGATCACTATTCGTTACCGTACGTCAGAAAACAATTTTAAACATTATTTCAGCAAATCAACAAATAGATAATTAATTACTTAAAATTTAATTATATATACACAAAAATAACAATTATCAGTAAGACATCACGATTATTTACGAATGCTAACAGATGGCCGCGTTAGTAAATAAAGTAATATTTCGAATATTTCATCAACAAAAAAAAACTTAATTGCAGCTGACAGGCGTAAAAGGTTTTAATTCCTTGAACAGAAATAATCATAAATTCATAACAGTGAAACATTAAAGAAAAAAAATCTACGAAAATTTCATCTACCGACTCCATATCTGTTTACGTAGGTGCCATACGACACACAACTCATACATATTTCGTATGCATACTAATATAGGGGTAATATAACATATTTCAAAATTCACCACAAATATGAAGTGATTATTTTATAATTTCCTTTCATCCGAACTTAAAACCATACATAAACTAAAAATAACACAGAATCTATTCAAATCTGTGTATATTCTATTATTTATGATTCATAAATATATTATAAAAAATAACAATTTATAACACATCGAAACATATAAGTCAAACACTGCTGACAAGTGTTGAAATAACTTGTATATAGTAAAAAAATTTAAAGCGTTTCAACAGTAAAAGCGAGGCAGGGCTAGCACGTGTTAAAAAATAACTGTAAATAATGAAAAGATTTTGAAAAAGAAATTATGAAATGCAAAGATAGTTAACATATTCAAATATTATAATATACATTGAAAGATTTTGAAAAAGAAATTATGAAATGTAAAGAGAGTTAACATATTCAAATATTATAGTATACATTGAAATCAAAGATATAATTTAAAATCCAGTATTTTAAAAATCTTAATTTCAAAATATAAGCTTACCTATAAAAGAAATCCAAACAGCTGATATCACCATATTTAAAACAGCTTAAAAACCACTGAACCACACACAAAATTAACCCATAGAAGTTAGGCAACGCAGTGTTCCACACATTCAAAACAAAGCCGGTAAAATCGAATATCAAGATGAAAAAGAGAAGGAAAAAAAATTTACTCTAAAACGATTTTTAGCTTCTCCTGGCAGACGATCTGTGAATGAAGGTGAGCAGAATGATACCGAACAAAGGATTTCAACTTCCTTTCAACAAAAAAAATTCTTCGAAAACTGCACACAGGAGGTTTCCGATGTGGGGCCGTGCACTTACATTTAGGGAGTGGGAGATCAAACCCACTTGCGAGCAGCCGGTGTATGGGATGGAGAGGGAGGGGAGGGAAGAAAGATGGGGGTGCCCGCGAAATGGAAGGTGGAGAGGTTTTGGATTTCGCGGCGGCAGTGCTGTGATTGGAGGAGGATGTTTTCACCCGGTACCAGAAAAAGTTTCAGGGAAAGTTTGGTGTTTGCAATTTTTTATTTTGCGAGACAAACTTTTTTTCGAGAACTGATTTACTCATTCTAACAAGTGGTCGTCGTGTCAAGTGGAATCCGTTTTCTTTAACCTTCTTATGAAAATGGAATGAAAAACTCTTTTCATTCTGTGTAAGAAGATAACTGTTCGCATTCATTCTTATTCTGAATGCATTATATTGTTTAAATTTGAATTTTTTTTTTTGCGGTTTGTTCTAAAATAACTATTTTTACTGTGCTTGATTCAATAATTTAACGAACTATACCCTTTTGAGTTTGTGTTTGTTGAGTAAAAAATCCCCAAACCACGTAAAATTAAAAAACCTATAACCTTAATAATAGCTTTCTTTGCCAAAGATAGAGTACGAACTAATGACTAATTGCTATAGAATATCACAGATATATGTTACTTGGAAAAATTACAGTGAGTCAAATAAAGAGAAAGATATCACCCTCAATGATTTAATTAACTTTCCTATGATCAGATTTTCACATAATAAGTGCTAATTTTAATGATTCAATGGATTCTAATTATTTATTTTTTAAAAGTAATTAAATTATGAAAATACACACGAAAACTTACTTGCTTTGAACAAACGGTTGGTGGTAAATAAGAGCTGAGGATTTAAAAGTGCAGAAAAAAGTACCGGAAAAAAGCCTCCCGTTATAATTTTGTAAATTTAACAACCAATTGAATTTAAATCGCTGAACTGGAATTTAATGTAATTAAAAATTTACCATATTTAAAATAGCCGAATATCGAATGAAATTAAATATTTTTAAAACATTATTAATGTACAAGGATTAATTAAAAGTTAACGGAAAAAAAACTTTCCCGGCTTCATTTAATTCAACAAAATGATTAGGACTCTTAAGCAGTTCTAAAATTGTTTTAAATTTCAATAATTACACTTATTGTAAAATAATCATGTACAAATATTACTTTTTCAGCTAGTTATTTTCTTAAAAGTTGTATTAAATTGTAATTATAAATTTCTAATATTTTTTTATATATATTTTTGAATAATTTATTTTAAACTTTATCAAAAGATTAAGCCCCTGAGAGATTCTTGTTAATTAATACATTTATAACAATACGTTATCTATATCATTTTTGATAATTGATACATCATTTATATCATTTTTAATGCAATTATATGTTATATAAATGCATTAAAAATGAATTATATAATGTTCCTTAACTTCGTGCAATTGTTTTTAATTGTCTGTGTGTAATTGTTTTTTAATTGTCTTTGTGTAATTGTTTTTTAAAAGAAATTTAAATATTTCGCTAGTGTTAATTTTTGGTTAAGTTTTAATTAAATACATTTTTTTAACGTTGTAAACTGTCTTTAATGTAATTATTTCTGTTTATTATTATTTTATTTTTTTTAATCAGTTTTTTATTTATTTTGTGCCGCAAAGAAAAAGAAAAAACTGGTCTCCAAAGCAGGCGCTATTTTATTACATTCGGGTTCAAAGGTTTGTATCTAATAGAAGATTAAATTTATGTAATAGTTCTATAAATTTATAAGAAATTAAAAACACACATATATGCAAAACATGTGGAAAAAAAGTTTTACATCATGTAATGAGATTCACTATGATATTTGAAAAAAAATTCCCAAATTTTTTTTAAAAAAAATTACTGAGCAAAAGGTTAAAAAGAAATTAAATACATTATTAATTGACTAATTTTTCAAGGAAATTGCAATAATATTGCAACAAAAACCATTTTTTATTCACCAATAAAAAATATACATAATGAATATTTTTATTTGTGACAAGTGTCATGTGAAGTTAGTGTGTGCCGTGTTTTGACCTTTTAAGAAACTAAATCTGCAAACAATGCACAAACATTTAAAAAAATTTAACTAACTAAAAAAACACACGATGTAATTGTTTTAAAAGTTCTGTTTCATCATCGTAACACTGTATGTTATGCTCGTAACACCGTATTCAAACTATTTTCATTCGTGAAACGAACAATCAATCAATTGGAGAGAAAAAATGGTGTAACTACTGCTTTTACAGTTTTATTTTTCTGCTTAGACAATATTTAAAAAAAAATATGACCTTATTGTAGTGAAATAAATTTCAAAATTGTTTAATTTTTCTTTTTATACTGATCAAATCTTAACGTTTTATAACTTAATGTTTCGAGGGGGTGACTTCAAGTATACTAATTAATTAGTGCAGACGATATTTCCAGTTAAGTTACTTTAAGACGTTATTTTAAGAAGTTAAGTTAACTATTGGACCCATTTCGCTCAGATTTTCGCCATGAAAAATTACATTATTTGAAATGATAAAAAAAATTTTACACCTTATAATTCCAAAATTTTTCTACTATTATTAAATAAAATTTAAAAAAAATATTAATTGAAAGTTATTTTTTGCATGGAATTATCTTTAGATAATCAAAACGAACTCTAAATAAACATTATTATTATTATAATTTTTCTTTTTAGATGAATTCGAATTTCTAACCCCCAAACATGGCAAGGGGTGTCCAATCTGTAAAATATGGTCCCAATAGTTAGATCAGAAAAGCGGTACAGTAAGTTTGGACCCCTTAATGTTAATTTTAGTTATTGTGTACTCCGCTTTATATCTCGAGAATTTCATAAGTGAATTGAAAAGTTTTTGCATATAAATATAAAATTCGTTTATCCGAAGATAATTCCATGCAAAAAATAACTTTTAGTAAATATTTTGTATTTTTAATTATTTTATTTAATAATAGTCGAAAAATTTTGGAATTGTAAGGTATGCAATTTTTTATATCATTTCGAAGAATGTAATTTTTCATGGAAAAATACAAAATCTGAGCTAAATCGGTCGCATAGTTCTTGAGAAATCAAATTTTAAAAACACGACTTTTACTCTCTGTTTTAAAATAATTTAACTTGAAATATCATCTACACTAATTAATTAACCTATTTGAGGTCACCCCCTCGAACCATTTAGATTGAGTCCTAAAGCGTAGAGATCCAATCAGTAGATCAAAAGTTATTCAGGGTGGTCCATTTTTTATATTGCACACTGTACTACCCTTACAATGTGTTAGGAAATGTAACATAAACCTGTGGTTCCCAAATGTTGTTCCGTGGAACCCTAGGGTTCCATAGAAGGGTCTCAAGGATTTTAAAAGTTAATTTTTTAATCAGTTATGAGTTTTTGAATCCTGTAATTAAATTTATATCCAGTTAATAATTTATCATTTATTTAAAACTATTTCCATTATTTTTATGGTATTATTTAATAGAAATGTTTGTAAAGAAAGAAATTTCAAGACAATGTTTTTTCAATAACAATATACTAAATAAATTATGGAAATCATGAAAAATTTCACTAGTATTTCGCATCAAATGAAAATAACAGTAAAGAAGTTTCTTCTCTTATAACCATTCTCAACGTTCATTTTCTTCCTTTATCGTTTTTATTTTAATAGAAACCATATTTCAGCTCATTCATTTTCACTTTTTAAATGAACTAAAATCAAATTACGAACTAGACTAAACGCCTGTCCTGACCTCTGAATTCAACTGTCTGACATAAAATTCAACTTTAAAACTAATATTGATAAACGGATATGATGGAAATTCTTCATTCATTCGATAAATATCTTCTAAATAATTAATAAAATTTAAATCATGACACATTTTCAAATTAATTAATTAATATGCTCCCAATTGCTAATGAAATTTATTAAGTCTCGAGGTTTCGCCAAAAGAAAATCGATCGTTTAGGGTTCCATAGCCAAAAAAAAATTTCGAACAGCTGACATAAACGATAGTGAGAAGAATGTTCAAAACATGGAGAGAAATAAAGCGATATTCTTTTTTTTTTAATTATATTTTGCTACTTAAAAAAAAAGGTTTAAATTAAGTACTTAATTTTCAGTTTCTAAGTTTACAACATGTATATTCAAAGCAATGTGTTGAAATAGAACTATTATTAATTTTTTAATTTCTTTATCGTCTGCCACCAAGTTTTTTTTGCGTCGCGTTTATCTTCATTTTTTCCCCTTTTTCTTTTTTTGAAGCGTGAATTAACAGGAATTAGGACAATCACTTTTCATTTTATAACTCTCTCTTAGAAAAAGTATGTTTTTAAACTTCGAGTTTCTGAGCTGCAGTGAGACGTGCCAAACCATTGGAGTATAAAGTGACACAAAAACTATTAACATTTCCGCTTAATAATAAAAAACATATTTTTATGGCTGATTAAAAGTATGTTCAACCGAGCAAATGGTACTTGTCATCAGTGTCGTTAACAGAAAATGCCTAAAAATTTGAAATTAACAAGAATGACTGTATGATTGTGAATTTGTAGAGCTTGACTTACTTAAGATTAATTAATTTAAGCTCTTTACTTTTATTTCCAGAAATAGATTTAGTAACTTTTATTACTAATTATCAATCGTGATTCCTCAGAAAAACGGCACCACGAAAAAACGAGGCAATTGGGTATACTATAGCCTACGTCACAGGTTGTGTTATTCCTACTAAATTTAACCCATGAACGGCATTTTCTACGAGCCTAACTTCAAGCCACAAATAAACAAACGAAGTGTTTGATCGTTTAAATAGCTGCTCGCCAGATTTTATTGCATTATAAAGAAAAGTAATTGATATTCGATTTTTGATTAATAATTGATTTATGTGGATAGTGGCATTTATGTGGATAGTGGCATAGAATTTAGCATTGCGTCGTGATAAATGTTATTCCTACTAAGTGGAAGTAGTTGTGTTTTTTTTATATTATACCCAATTTTGAATTTTTTTTTTTTTTTTTTTTTTTTTTTTTTTTTTTTTTGTAATGAAATGAAATGAAACAATTTCTTTTACCATG